CAAAGGAAAAAATGTCCTTGAATTCTTTCAGCAAATGGTGCAAGTTTGCACCCAGTTTTGAAAAAGCAACCGTCCCAACCTTTAGAGTACTGATAGACCGTCGTCAAGCCTACCAAAGATAATAATTCCTATCTTGGTCTCAGTAACAATCGTAAGGGTAAGAAAGGGTCGAACCCAAGAGAGGCGTTGAATCAACCACCGAGTACTACCGTTTAAATAAGCTAAATGAATTCTAAATTGGGTTGGTTTTGAGTAACTTCTACTAGTTCAATTCAACTAAGGCTTAGAGGAAATTAACAATATTTAGAGGAATCTAGGGCTCGGGTTATACCACTCAACTTCATCACAAATCACAATTAGCATGCAACAATCAAGGTTAATTAATGGGATAAATTAGGGGAAGTCATCTAAGGCACCCAACTACTCTCTCAAGCTAGAGGGATTACTTGAATCATGAATATAACCTACTCTCGTGGTTACAAATCATAAAACAAGTGTTAAAGCATACTCACGATGACATAAACATTCCCTTGACCGGAAATTCCTATTCTCATGGCATTTCGGGTCAATCAAGCATAAGGGAGCTAACTCAAGTTCATCTTTTGATCCTTCGTTGAGGAAGCTTGGATAAATAGTTCTAGTAATGGCCATATACAAGAACTAAGCAATTAAACCACTTAAGCTCAAATAATTAACATCCCACAACCAAATTAGCACATGCAACAAGTAATTAGTGACTACATTGAGGGTTTTGCCCAAACCCTAGAAATTGGACTACTCACAATCCATGGAGATTAAAGCAATTAAAGATTTCAAACAATTCATGAACAAGTTTAAACTAAGGATTAAGCTAATTAACAATCTAAACATGCAAGAACTAGCAAATAATTAACAACAAAGTAAAGAGAAGTAGAAAATATGAGTAAGAAATGGTTACTATGAAGCTTCAAGGTGAGCAACAATGGTGGACTTTGTCTTCTACAATGATTGAATTTGAATAATTCTAAGCTAATAATTAAGAGCTAACTAATGATTTGAGAATTTAATGTTCTAGGATTACAAAACTAAGAGAAAGCTCTAAAAACCTTTCTTCCCCGTACAAATGAGCCAAAAGGGGGTATTTATAAGACCCCCAAATAAAAAGGACGGAGAAAACAAGAATCGGGCTTGACTGCAGGTCTGCACGGACGTGCTGCCTTATGCACGACCGTGCAGGGCATGGCAGAAGCTGCTGCTTAGGCTTGCAATCTTGCACGGACGTGCCAGTTATGGCACGGACGTGCAGCCTCTTCTGCACGGACGTGCCAACTTAAGCACGGCCGTGCAGACCTTGGCAGAATGTAGTTAACTTTCGGGAACCTCCTGCACGGACGTGCAAGGTCTGGCACGGCCGTGCAGAGTCTTCTAAGCCCTTTTTTCCATCTTTTCTTCTATATTGCTCCTTTCCTTGGCTTCTTTCAACCATCTTTTTGCTTCTAACCTAGGCTTTGTATCCATGGGCTTCATTTGGTCATCTTTGGACCTAGAATCTCAACAAAAACACTAACAACCCGTGAAGCATAGGATACACAAAAATTGCATAATAATAGAGTAAAAGTGAACCATAACACAAATTTTATCAAGTAAACTAGGTTCAAAAACACCCTAAAATCATATCAAATAGCAAGTTATCAAATCCCCCCAAGCTAAGATTTTGCTCATCCTCGAGCAAAACAAACATGTCGAACCAAAGGAGGAAAACAATTTTCTAACATCAATCCAAGGAGAGGCAACAAGGAGGAAGCATAAATACACAAATCCGCATGATGACAACCATCGTCACTTTTAGCACAAGTGAGAAGCAATTTAAACCTCTAAGTCGCCTTAGAGGACGAGTTTTTATCTCGTGAGGGTTTCCATTGAGCTTAACCCACAACTCACACAGACCACGACAAAACTTTCAACTACACAAATTCCCATATTTTTATCACCCAAGTCAACTCATTGGGATATAAATCGCAAGCAAGTCAAGTGAGCAACTTTCAAGGATTACCAATCATATAAATGTACACTTGAGTTGGGGGTAAAGAGGGAAACTAAGAAAGGTTGCATTAGGATACTTCTTTAGACCTTTTACTAGTTCATTAGAGCATATCTAGATATTCCAAAGTTGTAACAAGCCCTCTTTCGGTTATAAAATCTCAAAATGCTAGTCCACCTCCCAAAATGCACACCCAAGGCCCCTTAATTACACTCTAACTCGGGAATTTCACAAGAAACAATAAAAATCATTGTAGACAATGTGTGGGAGGCATCCACAAGTTGACCTCTAAAGAAAAGAAAATCAAAATTTGAGAATTTTAGGGGAGTTTTTGTTCTCCCTTCTTTTCTATTTTTTTTTTTGAAACTTCATTGCCCTCGCCTCTTTTAACTGTGAGCGGCTCTTTCTTTATTCGAAACATGTGGCTTATTATGCCACTTATTACACATAATACAAGTAGATCTAATTCCTTAATAGAGTTTCATTTCAGGGAGGAGAGGAGGCACATTAAGGGCACAAGGGACCGCAATTTGATTCAAGCATATCCTACTTTGGGCAAATTTGACAATATCCTATGCTAGACGTGCAATTAAGCATTCATCGGCTTTCATTTCATATACACTAATGCAACCAGGATTAATAGACCTCTAAATGACCCCAACTCTTGCATACACCCTTCTAAAATAACTTTAACTCATCACTCAAGAGTCAAGCAAGCAAAACATATTAGCGTCGTCACTTGAGTTTCATCCTTAGGCAATTTTTTCATTTTTCAATTTTTTTTTCGATTTTTTTCAATTTTTTTTTTTTGAGTAAGAAAAGAAAAATTACAGCATTAGGCTAGCTAAACTAAGCATAAAAATAAAAAAAACTATACATCTAAATAAAAAGATAAAAGAGGTATTCACAAGATAAGAAATTTGGATTTAGGGTATTGGATTTCAAAGGGAGCAAATTTGGATTTAAAGGATTTGGATGTTAGGGAAAAAGGGAATGGGAATAAACAACATGCGAACTCATCATGGAAACACGAGAATACAACATGAACCACTGACACATGAGAAAACACTCCCCCCAAGCTATCATAAACATTGTCCCCAATGTTTAAGCAATGCAAGAACAAAGAGAAGGGGAGGAAGAAACTAACTCATTGGTTCGGACCCCCTTGGAAGCTTGAGCCCCCCGGGTAGAGATGTCGGTACACATTTCGGAAATTGCCCAACTCCGATCTAAGACCCTCGAAACTTGTTCTCATTCCGTCGAAGGAAGTCCTCATGTCTTCGTTTGACTTCCTCATGGTCTCAAATTCAGTGGTCATGCGGGCAAAGTTCGCATTCATGTTGGCGATTTGCTGCTCAAAATCAAGGTAGGGGTTGTTTTCACCCACGCCTTGATCTTGGTACCCCTCTTGGTGCCCTTGTTGGAACTCGTGTTGTTGATGAAATTGTTGATGCTGAAATTGTTGATGTTGTTGTAGATGTTGCTGCTCTTGTCCTTGCTCTTCTCCCTCTTCACCGGGAGCCCAAGGAAAGTCCATTGCGAAAATCAAATTGCCTTGGTCATAGATGGCGGTGGCTTCCGGGTCAGGGAGATAGGCATAAGGACGCCTACTCACCAACCAGAAGTAGGGGTAGTTCCCCTCTACATCTGTGAGCCACTTCATGGCCCTCAATGACTGCATGTCCAACTGTGTCGGTCCTGGGACAATCTCTTCATCTGCAAAATCAAGGTTAAGAGCAACAACAATAATAGTAATCATGCCACCTATGGTGATATTGCCGGATCCCATGGCAACATCTTCAAGGTGGTCTACAAACCAAGACCCCACATCTAAGCTAGTGTTACCCTCACTCAGGTGCCAAAGGAAGTAGAGCTCCCTTGTGGACACCACCCCCGAGCTATCCCCCCTAGCAAACGTCGTGTTTGCTATAGTGCGCTGTGAGAGTCTGAATGCAGGGTGGATAATGGCGGTGGCCTTATCGGACCTAGGGTTGTACTCAAAAGCCCCCCTAGATTCTTCTCCAAAAATCTCCCGCATTATAGCCACGGGGTTGCCTATCCTTAGGTCTGATGGTTCGTGTTGTGGGCCACCCAAAAGCTTGGTTAACTCTAGCTATAGTCATTTTGTGATGGGTGTTCATGAGTTGGAAAGTTATGCAGCGGGGGGTCCTCGTGGTGTCCCGATGCACATAAAGGGTGGAGAGGAATTCAAGGGTTAGTCTCCTATAGGTTTGGGCATGTAATTGTAGCCAAGAACCTAAGTCGGTACCCTCAAACAACATCCTAACATCGTCACCCACTCCTAGGGCATTGGCTACCTCTTCATCGTAAAACTTAGTGGGCCTAATTCGCCTCCTACTATTCCTAAGAAAGTTGGCCGAAAAGGCCGGGTCATTGAAAATTATTCCCATTGTATCCACTTGAGGTGGAGCAACGGGAGGAGGAGGCGATGGGTTCCTAAGTCTAGCGGAGGAGGTATTTCTTGGGCGATTTCTTCTTGACATGGTTGGTTCTTATGCAAAACAATTAAACACGCCACAAAAATTAAAGTCACCACACCAAAAAATTCAAGGCTCAATCAACACTAACACAACACCACACAAATCACGTTGGGGCTCTAAGTACACCACCTAGAATCAAGTTTAATCAATCATAAAAACAACCAAGATGGTCTTCACTATTTCAATTCACAACAATTCAACACCAAGGGTTGAAAAATTCATGCATTCATGTCAACAATTCATCACAATAACAACACAACTAGGCTAGCATGCTCTTCATTCACCAAATAAAATCCTCCAAATCCTACTCACTTACAAACACCCAATTTTCACAAAATTCATAAAACACTATCAATGTCAACAATGCTTAACATATATCAACAATTATTCCCTCACTACCAATTCAAACAATTTTACAAGCAAAATTAAGCACAAAATATCAAGATTGTAAGTATGGAAGTAGTGAGTAGAAAGAACGATTATATCGGGTCTAACGTGGGTGTAGAAAATGAAATTTTCTCATATCCCACATTCAAGGTCAATCTTCCTTCTTTCATATCAATCACCACTCTCGCGGTGTTCAAAAATGGTCTCCCCAAAATGAGGGGTACTCTTGAATTTTCTTCCATCTCCATTACTACAAAATCCCATGGCACAAATACTCTTCCAACTTGAACCGACACATCTTCAAGAATCCCCAAAGGTAGCCTAACCGTGCGGTCGGCTAGTTGTAAGGTTATTGTTGTTGGTTTCAAGTCTCCAACTTTCAAGCTCTTTGCAATAGAATAGGGCATCAAGCTCACACTTGCCCCAAGATCACATAAAGCATCCATAGCTTCCAAATCTCCAATCTTCACCGGTATTGCATAGCTACCGGGGTCACCAAGCTTTTGGGGAAGCTTGTTTTGAATGATTGCACTCACCTCCTTAGGAAGGGAGATGGTTGCACTCTCTTCAAGCCTACTCTTGTTGGATAGAAGATCTTTCAAAAATTTTGCATAGGTAGGCATTTGTGACATAGCATGAAGAAAGGGGATGTTCACTTGAAGTCCTCTCATGACTTCAAGAAATTTTGAAAACTTCTCATTCAACTTCTTCTCTACAATTCTATGAGGAAATGGAATAGGGGGCTTATATACTCTCATAGGGGGCTTTTCTATTCTTTCTTCATCTCCCTCATCTTTCTTTGTGGCTCCCTTATCACTCTTTTGCTCTTTTCTCTCAACTTCAACTACTTCATTTTCAAAATCATCCTCACTTCTCACCACAACTCCCTCATCTCTCTTTTGTGGCTCCTCTTCACTCATAACCGGGCCCTCATAACCCCTTCCCGATCTCAAAGTAATAGCCTTAGCTTGCTCCTTTGGGTTCACTACCGTTGAGCTTGGAAAGTGACCATTAGGATTGGAGGATGAACTTCCAACTTGTTGTGCAATTTGAGCCAATTGGCTCTCCATTATCTTATTATGTGCTTGGAGTTGTTAGATGTTTGCATTCATATCCGCATTGTTCCTTATTTGTTGTGTCATGAAAGTTTCAAGAACGGACTCAAGGCTAGTCTTTGTAGGAGGTGGAGGAGGAGGAGCGGGTTGGTTATATTGTGCTCTTTGTTGGTTTTGATCCCTTTGGTTAGGATGGCGGTATGGAGCTTGTTGGTTTTGAGAATGAGGTTGGTTGTAGTGGTTTTGAGGTTGGGTTTGATTTTGGTTGTAGTTATTTTGTGGGGGGCCTTGGTTGTATTGCTTCCATCCCGTGTTTTGTTGGGGCTTCCAACTTTGATTGTGGGATTGGGAGTATTGTTCATTCCTTTTCCCAATTGCCGCCGCTTGCTCTTGATTTGTTGAGTTGCAATAAGAGGACAAGTGATCATTTCCTCCACAAGTCTCACAAGACATGACTTGTGAGGAAGAGCTTGAGGGTGTGAGGGTGGCTTGATCTAGCTTGTGAGCTAGCATATCGAACTTTGATGCAATAAGATCTATTGCACTAAGATCATGAATTCCGCCCTTCTTTGTTTGAGGTTGCCTTCTATCACCTCCATATGCATAATGCTTGGCCACTTCTTCAATCATATTATATGCATCATCCACCAATAGCTTTTTGAGGCTACCACCGGCCCCAGAATCAAGGTTGGCCCTTGAAATAGGAGTAAGACTGTCATAGAAGCTTTGTACAATGATCCATGATGTAAAACCATGGTGGGGGCATTTCCTTGTGTAATCTTTGAAACGCTCCCAAGCCTCACTCAAGGTTTCATCAATGTCTTGATTGAAATTGGTGATCTTTCTTCTTAATTCGGCGGTCTTTTCCAGAGGAAAATACTTTCCAAGAAAGGCTCTAGTGACTTCGTCCCATGTACTCAATGATCCCTCTTCAACCGTTCTCAACCAATGCTTTGCTTTATCACGGAGGGAGCATTGAAACATGTGCATACGGATGAAATCTTCCGAAATGTTGTTTTGCTTGATGGTCGTACACAACTCAAGAAAGTTTTCCAAATGAGCAAAAGGACACTCATGAGGACTACCTCCGAATGGATCGCTTTGAATCATACGGATGAGTTGTGGTGAAAGCTCAAAGTTGTTTGCATTTGTGGTGGGAAGACGTATGCCACTCCGAAGTTGGAATGCGTTGGGGTGGTCATAGTCTCTTAACAATGGTTGAGGAGGATTCTCTCCCATGTTATCTTCTTCGTTAGTTCCAAAAACCTCTTCCGGATCGAAATCCGAATATACAATGGAAAACTCGGGTATGCCGTGCAAGAGTCTCCTCACGTTTCTCAAAGTCCTATTTAGCTCTGGATCAACGGGAATAAGCGGTGATTGCTTACTCTTTCGTGTCATGCAAAGTCAAACAAAGCTAAGAAAAACGTTAGCAATGACTATCACAAGTTAAACACACATAAACAAAAATTAAGGTAAGAAAACTACTATACATATACACACATCTAGTCTCATTCAACAATAATACATTCAATGTGACTTTGCTTCCCCGGCAACGGCGCCAAAATTTGATAGACCATCGTCGAGCCTACCAAAGATAATAATTCCTATCTTGGTCTCACTAACAATAGGAAGGGTAAGAAAGGGTCGAACCCAAGAGAGGCGTTGAATCAACCACCGAGTACTACCGTTTAAATAAGCTAAATGAATTCTAAATTGGGTTGGTTTTGAGTAACTTCTACTAGTTCAATTCAACTAAGACTTAGAGGAAATTAACAATATTTAGAGGAATTTAGGGCTCGGGTTATACCACTCAACTTCATCACAAATCACAATTAGCATGCAACAATAAAGGTTAATTAATGGGATAAATTAGGGGAAGTTATCTAAGGCACCCAACTACTCTCTCAAGCTAGAGGGATTACTTGAATCATGAATACAACCTACTCTCGTGGTTACAAAGCATAAAACAAGTGTTAAAGCATAATCACGATGACATAAACATTCCCTTGACTGGAAATTCCTATTCTCATGGCATTTCGGGTCAATCAAGCATAAGGGAGCTAACTCAATTTCATCTCTCGATCCTTCGTTGAGGAAGCTTGGATAAATAGTTCTAGTAATGGCCATATACAAGAACTAAGCAATTAAACCACTTAAGCTCAACTAATTAACATCCCACAACAACCAAATTAGCACATGCAACAAGTAATTAGTGACTACATTGAGGGTTTTGCCCAAACCCTAGAAATTAGACTACTCACAATCCATGGAGATTAAAGCAATTAAAGATTTCAAAAAATTCATGAACAAGTTCAAACTAATGATTAAGCTAATTAACAATCTAAACATGCAAGAACTAGCAAATAATTAACAACAAAGTAAAGAGAAGTAGAAAAGATGAGTAAGAAATGGTTACTATGAAGCTTCAAGGTGAGCAACAATGGTAGACTTTGTCTTCTACAATGATTGAATTTGAATAATTCCAAGCTAATAATTAAGAACTAACTAATGATTTGAGAATTTAATGTTCTAGGATTACAAAACTAAGAGAAAGCTATAAAAACCTTGCTTCCCCATACAAATGAGCCAAAAGGGGGTATTTATAAGACCCCCAAATAAAAAGGACGGAGAAAACAAGAATCGGGCTTGACTGCACTGGCACGTCCGTGCAGACCAAGCTGCACGGACGTGCTGCCTTATGCACGGCCGTGCAGGGCATGGAAGAAGCTGCTGCTTAGGCTTGCAATCTTACACGGACGTGCCAGTTATGGCACGGACGTGCAGCCTCTTCTGCACGGACGTGCCAACTTAAGCACGGTCGTGCAGGCCTTGGCAGAATGTAGTTAACTTTCTGGAACCTCCTGCACGGACGTGCAAGGTCTGGCACGGCCGTGCAGGGTCTTTTAAGCCCTTTTTTCCATCTTTTCTTCTATATTGCTCCTTTCCTTGGCTTCTTTCAACCATCTTCTTGCTTCTAACCTCGGCTTTGTATCCATGGGCTTCATTTGGTCGTCTTTGAACCTAGAATCTCAACAAAAACACTAACAACCCGTGAAGCATAGGTTACACAAAAATTGCATAATAATAGAGTAAAAGTGAACTAAAACACAAATTTTATCAAGTAAACTAGGTTCAAAAACACCCTAAAATCATATCAAATAGCAAGTTATCAAGTACGCTTTGGACGTGTGTCATCCGAAACGATGTCCATAAGTTCTCCAGTCGGTTAGGGACGGAGGTTATCTGACCGTTCCCTGGTCAGTGATTGCTATTGCTTCTCTTTTTTGACAGTCGCAACTGGTCGGCCTTTCTTTTCTTGCCGGTTTCTGGTAGGGCAGGCTCTTGCTCCTTGACATCGTCAAAGTCTATTGGCTCCTCACCCTGGCCGACTGCTGCTGCCGTGGGGTTGACGTCTGAGAGGTAGCACTCTCTAGCCGTCTTCTGGTCCCTGCTTAGGGAGCCAACAGAACCATCATCTTTCTCAAATTTCAGCAGCATGAGGGATGGAATGATAACGGCCTTGGATTTGTTTAGAGTCTGACGGCCCAAAATCATATTATAGGCAGTCAACTCTTCCACAACTAAGAACCGGACGACCATGTGGCGCCCCTCTCCCTTCTCTCCCAGCCGAATGGGTAGGTCAATCCGTTCGATTAGGTGCACAACTACACCCCCAAAACCAACCAAGGGGTGAGTGACCTTGTGCATGCTGCGGGGCTTGTACTTTAGCTTGGACAGACACTTGTAGCTGATGATGTCTGACGAGCTACCTGTATCAATGAGGATCCGACCAACCTTCTGGTTGGCCATCTTGCATTCAATGACAATGGCGTCATCATGCGGCCTGGCCCTCATTGACGGAGCTAACATCCAGCCGTTTGACATGGTCCTTGGTGCCCCTGATGGTCAGCCCCCCATCGATAAAGCCGTCTGCTATGGTGTAGATCGGCTCCTTGTTGGTGTCCGAACTACCAGTAGGCTTTGCTGGCTTTTTTGATGGCTGTCTGGGGTCCATCTTCAGGGTCACCTTAGACTTGAGGATGTAAGATTTCAACAACCCCTTATCAGCCAATCTATCCAACATCCGCTTGAGGCTATAGCTGTCGTTGGTGTCATGGAAAATATCCTCATGGAAGTGGCAGTACTTATCTTAATTTCGGTTTTTGGCCGGACCTTTCATAGCTGCGGGCTTGTTAATAGTCACCAGGTCTTTTATCTCCATAAGGATGGAGTAGTAGTCTTTGTTAAACTCGTATTTTGGGACGTACGGTTTAAACTCTTTCTTTTTCTTCTGGGATGGATGATCAGAGTTGTCGACTGCCCAGATTTCTTTTCTCTTCTTACACTCTTTAGCTTTGTGAGTCAGTTGTTCTTGCCGACTCCCCTTTTGTTTGTCGTACTTTTTGGAGTCCGACTGCTTACTGGTGGAGCAGAGCTTCGTCGCCTGTTTATAGGCTTCTGCCTCCATCGGCGCCTCTTGAAGAGTGGAGATCCTTTTCCGGACAAGGTCGAACTTGAAGGCCGACCCGTCTTTCAGACCCTTGAAGAAGTTTGTGTAAGCAACATCGTTAGACAGTCCTTGGATCTGGATTCCCATCAGATTGAACCGCCAGACATATGAGCGGAGCCCTTCCCTATCTCCCTGTTGTACCGCGCCCAAGTCAAGGCTTGTCTTTATGGCGGGTATGTTCATGGAGAAGTTTGAGGCGAACAAGAATGCAAGCGTCCTCAAATTTTTGATGCACCCAGCCGATAAATTGCCGAACCACTACTGGGCAATTCCCTTCAACGTGGCTGGGAAGCACCTGCACCATGCGGCGTCATCCAACCCCTACAAGTACATGAGGTGGGTGTATGCCAACAGGTGGTCTTCTAGGTTGGTGGTACCATCATACGTACCCACCATGACATTCTTAACCTTGGCCGGCTGTGCCGCCTAAGTTATCTCCTTAGAGAACACAGAAGGTTGTTCTCCAAGTTTTAGCAGACAAAACTGCCAGTCCAGTGGCTGGACGTTATATGCCGCCTGACCCCCGAAGAGGGCAGGCTGCATGTAAGGCTGGGCATAAGACCTGTATGTTTGCTGCGGCACATACGGGGCCGAGCCGATCATCTGAGGACCTGTATGGACGGACGGGCCGCCTGACAGGCTCTTTTGTGCAGATTGAGAATACCTCATCGAGGTATTCTTGAAGCTGTCTGGGAAACTCGACGTTGAAGCTGACTCAGACAGTTGCTGATTTTTCTTTTGCTCGATGTAAAGGCGAGCATCAAAAAATGTCTTCTTGGAGCCATTCGGCTGAACATGCCGAATTGACTTCCTCTTCTCTGTCACGGAGAAGCGGAATTTAGAAAAATTAATCAAGGGTCGAGTCCCCTCCTTTGTTTTAGGATACGGAGTGGGCTCTCGGTCCTTGAAAAACTTACTCTTCTCAAAATGAGAAGGCTTCTTGGCCGACTGACCCCTGCTGGGACCAGCCATCCTCTTAGAGATCAGGTCCTTCATCTCTCCCTTGAAATTCGTCATGAATTTCATGAACTCGTCTCGGGTGATGTGAAAAGACTTTCCTGCCGTCTGGGGTTGGTCGGATGACTTACTTGAACCTGCCTGACCGTCGCCCCTTTCCTTATTGTCTTTGGAACGGATGCGCCTTGTAATGAGGGATCCATCAGCGCCCGTATATGTTTCGACCTCTGGTTCTATATCATGGTCTAAATAGACCTCAGCCGTAGGCTACTTATTCTCAGGAGGCAGTACAGTCTCTTCAGAAACCACCTTAGAGGTACTCTCCCCACAGACGACGCCAAATGTTTAAAGGTTTTTGTCGCTCGGGAGAGTAACGTCACCAAGACTAATTTCTCTACGCCTGTACCTGCAAAACATTGGAGACTCCGGTTGGGTGGAGTTCCGCCTCCAACGATCATATTAGAATGGGTACAGAGAAAGTAAAAAGGTGCGGAAAAGGTAAATCTAGATCTTCTCAGATTCCAAGATCAGGTGTTTTCTCTGATGTGAGAGAATTGATTGTATTGTAATAATTGAACGTGTCCCCAAAATGGGGGTAATCTCCTTATGTATAGGGTTGTTGGTAAATGTGCCCCTACCTAGGTCATTCAGACCTAGATTTGGGGGGATGCGCCGTTTTGCGGCTTTTCTCGGGGATTGGGCCTTGAAGGCCGTCTTTTTCCCCACTGATTGAGAGTGCCACGTGTCAGCTAAGGTGACACGTGTCACC